ATCACTGTCTACACACACACACATTACATTATCTCGTCACGTTGTCACCCTCTTTTATATACTAGCCTACCCTATCTAGTAAATACTAGAGCATTCGCCAAGGTACGGGATAGTTCTAGAAAGTAGAGGGCGTGAGAATCACATGATCTCGATGACGCAACAGTAGCATAGGTGCGTACTTATATCTGTGTTGCTTTTATACACTGTAGGACCATCTTCGCAGATAGAATTATTCGTGAGATTGGCTCGTGAATGTGAGAAAGAAAACGTTGAGAACCACTGATTCGGTACCTCAAATTCTCTGAGCAATAATAAACACGTGTAAGTCGAAAGACGTGGGTTTTATAACAAAAACACGTGGACAATAGGGAACCATTAGCAAGATTCTTTGAGGCTTTCCTTGCACTAAAAGAAAAATAAAAGTAGATATTAAACCCATCCTTATAGTAAATATCAAGAGTTTTAAATGAAAGAGTAAAAAATAATTTACTTTAATAGTTTTTGATAAACTGCTTGAAGTGTGTAGTTTTTAAATTATAACTGTAGGGGTGCTCCCTCATATCTTCCGTTGTGAGTCCATCATTTGTAGTACAGAGATTTGTCGCGATTTTGAGAGGGGTCAGTATAGTGAAAATGTAAATTTCCTAAGCAAACTAAAGACATAAGAAATAAGAAGTTTTAAGAAGCTGTTCAACTGAGCTTTTAAATTTTCTCAAAATTTGTTAAATCAGTGATTTGCATCCTTTTAGGTTCCTTAGACCTAAGTTAGTATTAATGATTCGACAGCATGTCTGTACGTGATGGAATGAACCCAATAGTAATGTATTCCTAAATTTAGAAGACCTCGCCTGGACACGATCTCTCCCCTCCCCGACACAACAGCTAATTATCAAACTGGTTATTTAATATGGCTGCTGTGTTTCCTAATTAATTAGAAATTCAGAAAATCATTGCTTCGGGGATATTCTTTAGTGAAGCAGCGGTATGTGCAATGTTGGAAATCTTTCGCGTAATGATAGAAACTTCATTTTAAGTAAAGCGTTCCATATTAGAGACATGATTACAATACTATCGATCCATATTTGAACGCATAAGAAAGCAACACGGGAAATAATTTGCATTTGAAGTATGGGAACGGCCCTCCCCTGCACATGAAGTATGGGAACGGCACTCCCCCTGCACATGAAGTATGGGAACGGCACTCCCCCTGCACATGAAGTATGGGAACGGCACTCCCCCAGCACATGATGTATGGGAACGGCACTCCCCCTGCACATGAAGTATGAGAATGCCATTCCCCCTGCACATGAAGTGAGGGGTCGGCGCTCCCTCGATATTTTGCATGACTATTGAAAACCAGTGTAAACGTGGTAAAAACACTGAAGACTAAATTATAAGCTATCGTATTATCAAGAGCCTTCACAAAGCTTTCCGGCTGAGGTGAATAACAAATCAATATTTATTAAAGCTAGAGTTTAGGGGGATGGTGAATGTTTTACCTTGTTTTCTCAGTGTTGGTAGTGCTGACATCGCAGACGCTTGTTTGGTATAGCATGGAGTGTCTTGTTACATATTGAAGAACCCGATGATGCTGGTGCTGTTAACCTGTTTAACCATACTACAATTGCACCATCTCGCAGATTTTTCATTATGTAAAAATTCGTATTCCTGTTCAAATCGTTTTGCTGATCGTGCTCTTTTTAATTGTCACTACAGACACTTTTCGAAGGTATATTTTTTTCTTGATTTACCCAACAATGTATTGAAGTGGTCAGTTATTTTTTTAGTAACTTGAACATTGAAAGTGTTCATTGCATATGTGTATGGGGTGCCAATAATACCATTGACGCTTTACAACAATGTCTTGAAGGTGTTAGGTATATTTGTGCAAATTTTATCATTGAAAGTATTCGTCGTATATGTATCTGGGATGCTATAAATACCATTGACACTTAGTGGGTTATTATAACTTTCAAACGAAAGTGTTAATAATGGGCATAATTTTCTGTTTGTGAAATTGCTCTCGATTTGTTTCATTGTGAAACACTTCACACCTGACATTCACTTTTCTCAAATTTCGTGCTTATTGTTGGTCGATTTGTATAAAAAGAACCCATTACGTGAAATTCACCAACACCACTGCTTCGTTTGAATTTTGTGTTGGCGCCCCCCCGCATTTTATAAAAGTGGTATTTGCTCTTGATCACAGCACCGGCGATTTTCGAATACGATGTACGAGTAATGTCAATTGACCCCTCCCCCTCGCACAAAATGATATAATTAATAATAAACTAGGTGTGTGTGCATGTTGTTACTTATTTACTGCACGATAGCGTTGTTTGTTCCTGAGAGCCGTGGACATTCGCAATATGTCAGAGGTATTAAGAACCATTTCGGTTTGTTTGGCTGTAAGATAGGTGAGCATGCTATAATTACTCAACTTGTCAGTTTGATCGCATCTGTTATGACATTAAACACATTTATATTTACCATGTCTTTCATTTTTTTAGGGCGACAATCTATCTTTAAACTGTTTTAGTAGCAGGTGTTAACATTAGCATCCATTCTTTAATATAAAGGAAATCGATAAGCCTAATCTGTATTATAAAATTTCGTTAATCTCTCATATAAACAGTTTAAGACTTTATCTTTGTTTTAAAATAATATTGAGTAATTTACTCTCAATACTTACACATAGTGTTATTTAAAGGTTGAAGATACTTTGCTTAGACACTAAAGTGCTCTGATTGTATGTTTTATATATCTTAATTGGTCAGAAATCTGTTTCACTTATTATACAAATGAAATATCCCTGAACTGTCGGAAAATGAACATAATTTAACAGTAATTAAATGTTTGTAAAGGAAAGGTCAACCGTATATAACTTGTAATATACTACCATGAATAATGATAGACACACAAATGTTCGGTTTTGGATGAAAAATGTATATTTATAATTATACGACTTCCGTAGACTATACATAAAGCCTTATTATTTTTTTTTGGCCTTCGTATTTTTCAGTGGTACAGATTTTGGTTACATATTTGATTTGTTTTAACATGATTTGCATTTGTTTGAAATTGTGAACAGTATATTTTACGTATTTAAGAGTTCCTGGAAATATTAATTCAAGTTACCAGCATGTTACGCAACGTACGGAATGTGGCTGTAGAATCTCCTCCACATGGCCGCGTGTGTTGACATTGAGATAATACAATATTGAATTGTCATTACGTCATATACACGTGTAATTGTGGAACTCTTTCCCCCTCTCCCACTAGCTAACTGTAAAACGAATTTACACATAGAAATCAGCGCCATCCAGTGGCTCAATATCGTGTAATTCTAAGATATTGGAAGCTTAATATCTTCCATGGTATGTTTTATGCGAATAGCGCCATCGGGTGTGTAAGAGCGATAATACAGCATGAACTAGTATATATATTGAGTCATATCTAATTAAGGAAACAACACCATCCAGTATCAAACATTGTGTGTGTGTGTGTGTGCGTATATCTGTAACATCATTGGTATTATTCCAAACTGTTAGAACACTACATGATTTTGTGTAGAATTGTATCTAAAAGGTCAAATCATATTAATCAAAATTACTTGCTTTTTCAAAATTGATGACATCTATCTATAGATTTATGGTATTCAGTAAGTACAATTAAAAGTTGTATGACTTTATTAAGTCAATTCAAAGAAGTCCTATATTATCAAAGTCTAAGTTAATAACAGGGTGAATGTGTTTTAATAAGAATTACTTTATTCATGACTCTGTACAGAGGCAGTCGTTAAGTCAAACCCAAGGCACACTCAAGTATAAGCAGGAGGATAAGATCAATGAAGCCATAAAGTAAGTTAACTAGGATAAGGAATTGGAGTGATGATTTATTTTTTGATTTATAATCAGTATATTAGCTGATAACAAGTATGGGAATCAACCCATTTTCTAAATTCTAAGCTGTAATATTTAATGGATGATGATGTACCATGTGTGTATTTTTCTTTTTTTCTGTTGAGACCAACATTATACAGTTAGTTGGTAAATGTAACAAAACAAACCTTGTTGTTGTTTCTTAAATATAAATATCAACACTGGTTAGCTTAACAAATGATTACATAAAGGTGTAAAGAAAACATAAAGAAACACCAGTAAATTCAATTTGGAAAACAGAGGTGTAAGTTATGATTCTATATTTGTGTATGTATTAGTCTAATCTGTTTATTACTGGCATGCTATTACAATGAGCTAAGTTTGATCACTTGCAGGCCTAACTTGTAATTCACATATTCTTTGAATAAAAGCTGTGTTTATATGTATGTAAATGAAATGTGTGTATGAACATTAATTTGGTTTCATGAGACTCAAGTGCATTACAGTTACTGTGCACATGATTCATTCAAAATAAATAATACAATTGAAAGTGGTTCTAAAATAATACTTGTTTATATAACTGCATTATTTCTTCTATATATAAAAGACGTGTCTCAGAGAATACGTTTTTGTAAAGACAAGTATTACGTGTATATTTCTATTGCAATGTGTGTTGTTTACAGACGTCTAGAGTATCAGCTACAGAGACACAACTATACTGCTAATCAAGAAAGAAAAATTGTTCAGGAGATTGATTCATTAAAGCGTTCCAAAAAAAGCTTGAAGTAAGTTTCAATATTCTCATAACACTTTTTGTGCAAATAAAAAAAAAAAGGTTTGGTAACTATAGCTTTGAAAATTAAATTTATGAAACTTTGTTAGTGCTTATTGTGAAGGTAATTGTGCTTTATAAGAAATATTTTTGTGTGATATTATAGTAGGTGTCATTGCAGGTGTGAGGAACATGTTTAGGACATATATATTTTGTTCACAGCAAAGTTCTGACCATTTGACAGTACAGTGCTACTATGAGAGATATAAGGTTATTCCTTCCACAAACAAAAATTCACATACAGACAGAAAGGTTGTTAAATGATGTAGAGTCAAAAAACAAATCATTTTGAAGAAGAAACTCTTAATGTTATCTATGGAAGTGGAGAAAACTCAGAGCATTTGGGACAACAACAAACTAATCCTGAAGTAAAACTTTCTTTTGCAAAATGAAAATATGCTTACAAAAGAGAACCCTTTGACCAAAACTGACATTGTGATGGAGCTGGGCAATTCTCTTGAAACGACATCAAGATAATATTAAAAATGTAAAGTTGCTGGAGACTCGCAAGCTTTCAGTTATACCTTGAAATTGAAGGCACTTATAATAAGGAAATGGCCAAAGAAACTGGAATAAAAAAAACTCTTCATTCAACCACATACCTGCTAAGTTCTTTGATGCAGCTTCACTTTACTTTTATGTTTTAGTGTACTTAACTTTGGTCTTGAGAGTTCACATGATGTCTAGTGGAAGATCATCTGGAAAGTTTGTCAATATGTGCAATTTAAGATTGACTTTGCTGTCCATTGCGTAAAGTATATGCTAAGGACAACAAGGTCAGTCTTGAATCGTGTTATCAAGTGATAGTATTTAATTGGGCTATTAGATTGACCATTCTCCACAAAGATCCCAGTAGTTCTATGGGCAACATGGGATCTGAAACCTTGATCTTATGAAATGAGATTCTCTCATTTACCTATGTTAAATTACATTAATATATCTAGAATGCTATGTAATATGACTATTAAAATAAATATTGCATGTAAACAAGACTTATTTTATGTGTGGTGGCAAAACAGTTGTTTAAACAATATTTTATATTTTGTTATAGCTATAGTAAAATATAACATTTTGTTAAGATGTTAAAATTAGTATTAATACCAAAATTACTTGTTCAGGTTTTGTTTTTGGTTAGATTTATGATTACAGTGTTATTTTTTAAATAAGAATTTAATACTGCATGTAAAGAAGACTACTGTTTTGTGGGATGACAAAATGCATATTTTAATCAAAAAATTATTTTGTTACAGCTAAAGTATAATATTATAGGATGTTAAAATTTAATAGTATGTGCACCAAAAGTATTTGTTCAGGTTTTTAACTTAGTATATTGTGATGGAAGCACAAGGTATTTAAAGCTTGTACAGAAAGTACAAAACTTAAATACTTAGAATTTTAATATTTTATGTCAGCATACTACTGTATGAAGATGGATAGGTTTTAGTTTTAATAGAATACTATTTAAAAAGATTAACAGGTTTGATACATTACTATTAATTATAGATTATATTTGGCCCAAAAAGCTGAAGTGGATGATGTGAGGAGCAAGCTTCAATTGAAAAGAAACTGGAAAGACGTAAGTAATCTAATATTAATGTGCAGAGATGTGTTTGGTTAGTTTTTATGATTATGTAAGGATTCAATTCCACCATTTTGAAAAGTAAAATATAATTTGGAAAGCTTTCTATCCTTTTATTTAAGTTCATCATTGATTGCCTAGTGGTCTTAATGGTATAGCATTTACAAAACTTAGTTCTGTTGGAAATTCACAAAACAATTTGTAATAGTAATTAAGTATGGATTGTGGTACCAAAAACAATACAAAGAAACTTGCAGTGATGCCTATGTAATATGCTTAGAAAGTTAAAATATAACTCTTAAACATGGCTAAGTACAAATTTTCATTGTATACATGAACATTTTTGTACAAAGATAATAATGAATTATTTTTTTGTGAAAGGTATTTCCAATTATATAGGGATGGGCAAAGAAAAAAGTGGCAACCACATTTAATCTATTACTCTATGATGCATACAAATAACTGCTAAAGTTGAGTTATTGAGTGTTACACAATTTGTATAAGAGTAATATTATTCTGTTTTTCTACCACACTTAATTTTGTGGGGAAATAATAAAAAGGAAAACTACTAATAAGCAGTGAGTTCAGTTTATAAGCATATATTATTTCCATGTTTCTTAAATAACACTTTCATTTGTGGTTGCTAGATGGCAGCACAAATTGTTCTTATATAATGACCACTTGTGACTTTTTATTGCAAAAACAATTTCATTAAAAATAGATAAATAAAGAATAATCTAAATTAATATTTAAGGTATCAAGGAGATCTAGTATTTATGCAATTGACAGATCTATGTACATGTTATTGATATTTGAGTTTAAAAACACCAGATTCTTAATCATCAAAACAATATATTATACAGCAGTCTACTTTTTTCAAATTTTCAGTGGGGCTGAGCCTGGCAGCTGTGTGTGAATGCATGGTATCATACTTTATGGCCTGGAATCTGTATAATGGCCTCCCTCTTAATCAACATGACCTTAGCATGTGATGGAGTTAATTGTTTGCACATGCAGTAAGTTGGGGTGACATTGAAAGGTTTCACCACTTCACGGGTTTCTTCAGAACATTGGAACATTTGCCTATTACACTTAGCCTGATAAACTGAAGCAACTTGGCTTATATTTAAAAAAAAATTATTAAACCTATCTGATATGCAATTTAAAACATAACTAACACATAATTAAAATATAACACCTATATTTATAGGTAAGAAACAATGCTAAAGTGGTAGCGAGGACAAAAGCAGCAACAAAGCTAAGAGTATTTGACAAGTTCTCTATGAAATTCTTTGGCTAATTTTAAAATAACTGTTGGGAAACAGTATTTCCAAATGTGGTCTTTTTATTGGTTACAAACATCTAGCTCAACTAAGTATAATTGTATGTGTAGAGAGTGGGCGTGGTATCTATCAAGTGTTTGAAGAAAGTTATTTCTTTTTCCTTTAAACGTGCCCTAAGGAACTTGAAAAGAGAATGTGTAAACAGAGCAGTTAACCTAAATTTTTTATATACATGAAAGGTTTAATTTAGTCAAATTAAGTCATTCTGAAATTACAAAGTCCAAATGTTAAAACTTTGTAAGTAACTAACTGAAGTTTAAGAATTTTTGTTTTAGGTCTCTTTTGAAATAAATGAATTAAAACTTAGATAATATAAAACTAATATACACTACCATTTGCTGACCTAGTTTGAAATTTATTAACAAATTGCATTCCTTCTTTCCCTCTTAAAATGTTTATTCCAGTGAGGATAAACATCATATCTTTGGATTCATTTACCAGATAGATACCACTTGTTCACTGTTTTTGTTTTTAGGTGGTTAGTGATGTGTGGTGCCCAGGCTTCAAAACTAATTAGTTTTTGTTCTTTTCATCTTCCGAAGCCTCCTGTCACATCATGCAGCAGGTAGTGGATAAGTTTTACAGAGATGCATTAATTTAAAAATATTCTTAATCTCTTCTATCAGTATCATCCTGGTTTATATACTGCCACACAGATAGTAAACGAGTGGCATCAAATAATTGGTTTGTCTTCACCTAGGACAGTCTTGGTGTCAGAATCACAATTCTGTACAATTTTACTGAAATTAGCAATTAGATATTGAACTTCTTCTTTACCAATACTTTTGTTTAAACATGTTTTTTTACTGTAAAATTTTTCTCACTTTGGTTACCTGTATGGTATCATTTATATCTAATAACAATCTGTTTTTGTAATCTGCCAGATCTGGTTTGGTTTTTGCTTCATTTTGTGAGTGCCCCTTCAAGTTTCCATTCTGACTTGCATGCCAGAACACACTTTCCATGGGACCTTTTTCATATTGCAGGGAGAGAAGCATGGTCTGTGTACTTTCTAGTTTGTCCATGACACTAGGCATAGTAATGTAATTTTGATGAAACAACAAGGAGACTTTACTGAAATTTTATAACATCCTAAAGTAATCTGTAAAAAAAAAAAAAATTACAACTCAAGTTACATATGAGCCCATCCATTGTTGCTCTGTCTTCATCTTTGTCAGGTTTCTCATTCTTCTCAGAAAAGTTTTCCATGTGCATAGTTATGCTTGGCTAGTTGTTCTGTCTAAAGTGTAGAAAGAGTAATTTGCTGTACAAGCTTAGAGAAATGATTTTCCATTATTTATGCTCCATCATTTACTTCATTAAGTCTTTTTGAAGAATTTCTGTAGATGTCAACTATTGTATTTGTGTATGATGCTTTAAAGATGCCCCTCGGGGTGAGTTCTAACCTTTGGGCCATGTAGCGTATTCGAATAAACCAAGGTGCATCTGCTGCCAACGATGTGACCAAAGCACATAGAATGCTGAACTTGATACTTGCACCACTCTCTCTAAAGCCTACCACCTTGGTTGTAAATTTACTAGGAAGAAAGCAAGGTGTTAGAAGGCCACCTTCAGCATTTCCAGAATATTGTCAACTTGAGGTATACAATATAAGGATAAAAGTATGTTATTCAAACATACACAGTTTATTTCTCTGTGTTAGTCTGTCTGTACTACCATCAGTCATGAAGGAAAAGAAGTCAGCAGCATGTAGTTGTTGTAATTCATTTGGAAAGTGTCAACAGTTTCAGTAGCTTCTGACCATTTAGATGTCATTGGAAAAGTAAAACGAATAAAAATAGATGTTGTTTCCAGCATAATTTAGGTAGTGTAGACATAGAAGTGTTTTGGTTTTAATGGACTACTCCCATCTGTGTATAGAGAGGAACAACATTTCAGTTTCTGCTGTGAGGCCTTCATAAGGTTGAAGAAGGCCTTTAATAGAAATAGATTCATAAGTGTAATGAATGAATAAACTTAAATATTTCAATAAATTTCAGCTGAATATGTGAGAAATAAATTATATAAAAAATATGTAAATTTTAATACAGTATATAAACATAAATTGGGAATGGATGTAGCTAGACCTATGTTGTTGGAAGATAGCCTGCAGTTAAAAAATTTATAGATCAATTCACGATTTGTAGTGAATTTCTTTCCTGCAACTGAAACCACAAATGCCTCAAGTGTAGACTTGTCATTCAAGTAATTTTTTCTTCTGTAAGAAATCTAGTCTATTATTTCTGGCAGACTGTGTAAAATATATGACTCATGAGATGAAGGTTGGTTTCTACAAAGTAACTCATAAACCATACAAAAGTTGCCTCACAGAAATTTGGTTTTAGGAGATATAACTAGGAAATTTTATGCTTTTATTTCATGTTTTTAACTCTTTTTTTTTTTTTTTTTCACTGCAGGGGTGCTAAAAGTATCCAACCAGTCATTTTCGTTCTCAAAGTAAAATTACAGAACCAGATATGAAACTTGGTATAGATTTGTAAAGTAGTATCTAGTTTCTGTTTAATAAAAACATTTGATTTAGTATATGTAGCATTTTATAATTCTTTTGGTTATAAAATATTTGAAAATTTATTGTGACAGCTGTTTTGAAAAACAATAAAGATACTTCTTTTCATCTTAGACTTTGTGTTCTTTTTACTAAGTATCAGAAAGTTTTATTCTTATATTAAATCAGTTTTAACTTGTTTCATATTCATTAAAATATTTATTTTCATACTTGATTTTGCCAATTGAAGCATTTGACTTCCCTCTATAAATCCTAAATATGGCAAGACTAACAAATATTTATTGGTGACCAGTGATCTCACCTTTTAAAATGGCATCATTGTTGTTGTTATTGGATATCTAACATGGTGTTTTGACAAGAATATTTTGGTCAAGTTAAGTTTATATCTAATAGGTATAGTTTGTTTTCTGCTCTTGTATTTGTACATATGTTGTTTGAATACAAAATAATTAACAATATATTCAATTAGAAAAGGATTTGTTTCATTTGAATAGTTTGCTGTCATAGACCTAGTTTACAGTAATTGCTAATATAGTATCAAACTTATGTCTGTGTTTGTGATAAGTTACTTAACATCACTTTTGAATAATTTGCACTTTCAACTAATACATTTCTGTTATCAGTAGAACTATTTTCACATAATGTACTGAAAGATTGCAATACACTACCACACCTCTTATCACATAATAGCTTTTCCTGACCTCCTTGTTGTATTCCGGGTGCCTTGAATTTTGTCACAGATCATCTGTTGAGGCTTGACAAGATACTGCTTATGGAATGTTCCCTCAATCTGGCATTCAAGTTACTGTGTTTCATTTGAGCACTCCTCTGCTAGTTGCTTTTGCCACTCATTTCAACACCATACTTCCTATTTTCTTTGTCCTCTATTCCTCTTCCCTCAGCTCTAGCTGTGAATGAATTCAGTCAAGAGTGGTCCAACCTTTTTTCTGTGCCAACCCTCCTATATGTCTTCTCCCTCATGCAGGACACTCTGATAACTCTGTATTGGCCGACTCAGCTGTAGTTTTCTCTATTGAATCATCTTTGGTTCTCTCTTCCTCTACATCTATCATGCTCCCTACTCTTTCAACCTCACTCCTCCCTCTCACATCTAGCTTCATGTGTAGGTTTTGTTCAGTTCTTTGCGAGACATTTCAGACTCTCTTAACGTGTAACCTTTCTTTTTTCTCATTCTGCTCGTTCTTCTTCTCTCTTGTCTATCCATAGAAATGCTGCGCATTCCGTAGTTTCTCCCCTTCCCATTCTTCTATCCCTCATCTTTCCGAATTTTTACATGGCTGTTCGAACACTTTTGACCATTGCTGGCTAAAGGGTAGCTCTACCTAATACTTTTGGATTTTCACATTAACATCATGTATTCTTCTCTCCTGTCTTTTCTATGCTTTTTCATTCTTTTTGCCACCTTCTTCCTCCTTGTCTTACAGTCCTTCCTGAATGGGACCTGGTAGTTGTTCTCCATGCCCTTACACTTCTTCTCTTTGAATTTTTAGTTTCTTGTACCATCAATCACTTAAGTCCTATTTCTTACTTTTTGCCTATGGTCATAGAAGATCTGATGTGTATGCCATTGATGTCTCCCATATTATTTTCCATCATTTTTATATTCTTCATTATCTTGCTTGTGATTTTATTTCTCAAATGTCTGTGGCTTGTGAATGGGACAGTGTGAACATCTTATTTCCCTTCTTTCCATTTCTCACTTTTATTCTCCACTTTTATCCGCATCATTTTCTATGTTGTTCATTGTTATATGGCCCGCACTACCTCTTTTCACGTTTCATTCCCCTATTATTTCTTTGGAATTCTTCATCTCCCCAAGTTATTTCTCCCATTATCCTCAAGGGATGGCTACAGCAGCTCATCCATCTAGCCTATGCTAGATTTACATTGACTCTTTCAGGCCTCCTCTCATCAAATCTGACACCTTACTCTCTCTCTGGCTGCTCACTTCCGTCATCTTTTGGAAGAGATTGTGAGGGCAGGCATGTGGACTGCCCTGTATACTTTTGTCACATATTCTCTTCATCATTTGACCATCTCTTCTTTTTTAGGATATCAACTTCCTCCTATCGTCATTCTACATAAACCTTACCTGCTCCTACTGAGTAAGTTCTTTTTCTTTCTTTTACCCATACAGGGGCCCTATTCTACACCTCAGGAACCACTGAGTGGCATGTGGTGCCTGCCAGAGTATATTTAAATCGGTACCATGTAGCCATTCGGGCCTGTAATGCTCACTGATGAGATGGGGTGTTCCACAAGTCCACTAGTGGTTTTCTGTGGTATATTATTTGCAAAACAAGGCCTAATTCAGACCATACCTACTAATGGACTGTCATGAGTAAAGCAGTGTCAGGATAGCTGCCCATCACTCTGGTCCTAGATGAATAAACTGGGACTGGCCTGCTTTTAAAAATTAGGGTTTTATGGACACCCATTGCACTCTCTTAAAGTGTTGCATTCCTCCAGACTCCCCAACATGCTTTTACACCCTTCTTTGAGTGGAGTATGGGAGTCCTTACCACTCACCAGTTTCTAGCTGCTGGGATGGTGGACCATGGAGGCTTCCTCCAGAGTGTGACAATTCCACTCAGTTGAGAGTAGAGTGGTGGTGTTCTGTTGATTTAGATGGTGTGAACCCTTCTCCTATCATGGAATGGGTGAAAAATTTTAGATACTGCCAAGTTTTGGACTGAACATGACCCACCAAGTACAATTTGCTCCTCTGGCTGGCATTCCCACATCCTACAGCTGCCTGGATGTCAGTTCCCAGGTGGTCTGATGTTCGATGCTTGTAGGATCAGTACACATGAGCACTACCTAGGATAGTGGAAAGGAAGCTATTTTTCCATTCTGCTTCCTCGTATGAAGGTGAAGATAGAACATACCTGATGCCACCTGGTTTTGGACTGGAGTTGACCTGCCATGTATGGTCTGATGCATCCTAGCCACATTATCATATGGCACATCCTATTTTTTATTTTGTGATTTTGGATGGTGCTTGTTTTCTGCCTGAGTGACACATATCTTCACAATAGGCAAATTGTATACCCTGGAATGGAAGGGGGGTGGTCTCCCACAGGTGTGCCCTTAAACTTTTCATGGTACAGGGTGTGATGCTCTATAAGTTCTCTTTCTGAAGGAAGCCTACCTAGGTAACTTTTGCACCAGTCCCTCCAGCATTTCTCTCTGGGATTCTGACTAATTAAAGAGAAAATGTAAGATATCGTATCAGAAGTTAACATTTTACAACACTGAAAATGTATTTCTCATAGATACATACCTCATCTCATACTTCCCACTCGTCCTCCCCACTTCCAGTGCATCTTTTCTTACCTAATCTTGAAGTGAGGATTGAACTATCAGTGTATAGGAAGTCAGCTGTGCTAGGAGGATGTGTCACACTCTTATTGATGGAGGGGTTGTAACATGCTCATTTGCATGCTACAGTGCAGCAATGGCACATGGAAACACATGAAGTTAGGTGGGAGCCTCAAGGCTAGTGGCAGGAAAAAAAAATTGTGCATATAGAGGGCAGCACACAATCAGGAAAAGCTAATATGTGAGAGGAGGTAAGTATCCATTGAAAATACATTTTCAGTGTTGGAAAATGTTAACTTCCATATAGCTCCCACTGAAACATGAAATTTCACCTCAATCCTTTCCATGGAGTAGCCTTCACCAGCCAAAAGTTTGACTTCTACGTATACGTGATGTAGCATTACAGTCTTGAGAGACATGAGTATGTTCACCACATTACTGCTGGGAATAGTATGGCATTGCCTGTATTTGTATAGGCATTATGCTGGTGTGGCACTGTCTGAGTAGCTGATTTCAGCTAGTCTCTGTGTAAACTATCAACACATGACTGTACTCTAGTACGTTTCATTTTCATATGATAGAGGGGTTGCAATTTCATAATATTTGCATTTTATAATCATTTTATTTACTGTTACCATAGAGCTGGGCAATTTAATCAATTACGTATGAGCAATAGTTACATCAATTGGTGTCATGTAAATTAATTAGTTAATCAAAATCATGATTATATTAATTGTCACAAAAATAATCAAAAATAAGGTTTTGATTATTACTATTTTCCATTATTCCAGCTATCCAAATAACTGAAATATTGCCACCAAACTTGCATTCCCTGTCTTTGTTGTGGGAAAGCTACTAAGGCAACCTGCTTCTGTCACTAATTTTGAGTATTTGGTGAAATGAAGATTTATGGCTAAAATACTTTTGTTTGAGAACTTGTTTAATGAAATAAATTAGTTTTGTGGTTACTGTATTGTCTTGTTGTTTTTAGCATCTTTCTGATGAAATAAGTGAATTCAGGAGAAAACAAGACAGTCACCAGAGGGAATACAAGATGGCTGAAGCAGAGATAGAAGAAGTTTGTAAAGGTGGGAATTAAATGTATACGAGCTATGATATACTTAAATCATAATCCAGCCTCACAATAATAGCATTAAGCTTTACATTTCTTCTGGGCTTGTGTACATATTGTGTTTTCTTTCATTTTAATTACATAAATTTATATTTGTTGTATCAATAATTACATGCTGTACATAATAATTGTCCAAGTTTAACATTTATTAATTTTGAGTTTGTGTGTGTGTGTATGTGAAGTTTAACTATGATTAGTCTTAACATTGTTTAATTTTGTATAAAAAAAATTATTAAACTTAATGGTAAGTAATCTTATGTGTTCAAAGATCTCTCTTACTTAACAATGATTAATCTTGTATACATAAAGATGTATAACTGAGCAGTAATTAATCCTATATATACACCT